GTTTTCGAGGACTTTTCAAGAACTCAGTACATTGTGGCAATTCTAGATTCTCCGGACCAAATTCCAAATGTTTCCAGCCGTGGAGAACTCTCCGATCATAAGTAGAGAAATTCATAACTTCTCTCCATAATGACGTTTTATCGAAGGAAATTTGATAACATTCTTTCTCAGTCGTACAAGTCTAGCCGATCCGTGCTCTCTTACACTATGCAGAAACTGACGAAACTGCCGTGCAAGGTAGCCAAATAGTCCGAAAAACCGGGATTTTTTAAAGTAAGTTAATTAGGGGAAATATTCTGAATTCTGGCAACGATGCACCCGCGCATCATTGGTCCGCGATGAAAATCCAAGAAACGACTCCGTGTTTACAAATAAAGTGCATTTTCGCCGGATTCGAGCGAGACGCCACGACATTCCACGGCGCGCCGTGGAAAAGCGATTTCCCAAAGCGATGAATTCAGCTGTTCGCAAAGATGTGCTGCCAGAGTAGCAAAAGCACATCAAGTTTAAAATTCCAAGCGAAATTTCTTATAAACCTTTCGAAGTATGAAGTACAAGCTGAAAAATTACGAACTGTGAATGGAAATGTAGCTAAGCAGCCCAACCCTAGAAAATATTGCGCATATTGTTTCCAGATTTCTGAACATGAAATAATATGGAAAAAATGTTCTTTCATTGACGGTTTTACTTCAAACTTTTGTTCTTAGATGGATCATTTACAACTAGAGGCACATTTCAGCTGTTCCTACACACACAATCTATTTTGTAAGCTCTGAAATAAAACTGAAAGTGTGTGAGCGAGAAGGAAGACATTTTGCGGAAAATTTTCAGCGAAATTACAGAAACATTAATACTGTACTAAATTTCTAAGTTCCTCATGATTTCTCATACCTACAAATCTTTTTCACGGAAAATCACATGGCAAGAGTCGCTTGAGAATGAAAAAAGCAATTTATAAGCTTGTAGAAAAAAATTCCAAAATCCGCAGCCAAAGTCCCCAACTTTTCATTGGTTTCCCGATCTTCTTCAAGATCCTATCACCTTGCAGATACTTAGATACAAATCGAACAACGTAGGGTTGACAAAATTTGCCTTACAAATGTTTTAAACTAATGAAGGGGGGGGGGGAGGGGTTGAAGGCAGGTGCATTCTGTTTTCAAACGAGCGGTCCGTTAATCGCAGCGACCGCGGATGCCCCCTCCCCCGGATGACGTCACGCGAAAGCCCTCGCCGAGAACCTAGCCCAAAGTCGACGGAAGATCCGTAGGTTGACGAACCGGTGAGGAATGGAACTCGCCCAATGGGAGCAGCACGCGGCGAGAAGAAGGGGGAGTGGGGGGGAGGAGCCGGTGCGAGTTACGACGCAGCGTGGCGGCAGATGTGGGGGCCCGGGGTTGGTGGGGGTG